AAAGACATTTTAACACCAGATTTGAAAGAGAATCCTCTGAACTGTCATTCATGCTTAAATTTGACACTTTACTCCTGGGTCTTAACAAAGACACTAATTATCTTCCCCATTACAAAGATAGCTTCCTCAATTATCACCTCTAATACCATTAGCTCACAGACATTTACCTTCCCCTGCCCGCATTCCCCTTCTGTTCTGAAATTTGATTTGTCCTTTTCATATGTGTTCTTTTTTTTTAATTGTATCCTTTGGTATATATGGTTGTGACTATTTTCTTCCACTATTTGATCTGAGGAAGTGGGTCTGGCCCACGAAAGCTCATCATCTAATAAACCATCTTGTTAGTCTTTAAAGTGCTACATTGTCCTGCATTTTGCTTCTGAATACTAGAAGATCTTGATATTCAGCAAATCATGAATATGAATATGAACAAGCTGGGGACCACCCGGCTAAGTAGCAGTTCTGCAGAAAAGGACCTGGGGCTTACAGTGGATGAGAAGCTAGATATGAGTCAACCGTGTGCCCTTGTAGCCAAGAAGGCTAATGGCATATTAGGTTGCATTAAGAGGAGTATTGCCAGCAGATCCAGAGATGTCATCATTCCCCTTTCTTCGGCTTTGGTGAGGCTGCATCTGGAGTATTGTGTCCAGTTCTGGGCCCCCCACTACAAAAAGGATGTGGACGCATTGGAGAGGGTCCAGCGGAGGGCAACTAAAATGATTAGGGGGCTGGAGGATATGACTTATGAGGAGAGGCTGAGGGACTTGGGGCTGTTTAGTCTGCAGAAGCGAAGAGAGAGGGGGGATTTGATAGCAGCCTTCAACTTCCTGAAGGGAGGTTCCAAAGAGGCCGGAGAAAGGCTGTTCTCAGTGGTGACAAATGGCAGAACAAGGAGCAATGGTCTCAAGTTGTGGTGGGAGGGGGCCAGGTTGGATATTAGGAAAAATTATTTCACTAGGAGGGTGGTGAAGCACTGGAATGGGTTACCTAGGGAAGTAGTGGCGTCTCCATCCCTAGAGGTGTTTAAGTCTCGGCTTGACAAAGCCCTGGCCGGGTTGATTTAGATGGAATTGGTCCTGCCTAGAGCAGGGGGCTGGACTTGATGACCTTCTGAGGTCTCTTCCAGTTCTATGATTCTATGAATAGCAGAGTTAGAGAACCAGGCTAGTAGTCTCCAACTATGGAGTGTCAGAAGGAAACCAGATTATGATGCTGAATATGCAGGATGACCATCCTACTGCCTCCCCACTATTTATAAGTTAGCTACAGTATCTCTCAATAACCAGTCTGTGGATTGGCACTGGTCCCTGAGATATCCCTGACACAATTTAGGAAGGCAGCAAGCCAGTCTTTGCTCTCAAAAAGGTTGAGAATCACTGAGCTAAAGTGTACCTCATTTCTGAACATTTCAGCTATTTTTAGCTCTCAGTGAAGGAAAAAGCAATGTGTAAAACTATTTATGCTTACAGTCTAAAATTCCTTGTTCAATGGAAGTATTTAACAGCATCATTGTAGCAGCAGCATCAATATCAGATTCTGTAAAGGAGAGGAAACAAAATATTAGGTTTCTTTTTGGGATAGGATGAAGAACAAAGAATCTTGCTAAAAAATAACAGCAGCAACAAGAATATGCATTTATAGTTGGGGACACAAGAAATTGGAATCACGTGTGAAAGAATCCCAAAGAAGTATGACTACTGTATGCTTCAAAAATAGCTCAGGAGCACTAGTGAATGTGTAGAGCCCTGTGTGAATACCAAATTTGTATCCATATTTGCAAAAATGAGCTGCAGATAGCCCCATCCCCATCCGTGAATGCAGGTATCTGTGTATATAAAGTGGGTATCTGCAGACTTGCAGGGCTCTACGAATGTGACTTTATTAGAACAACCATTGCAGAACAAATCACAGTGTATTTTAGTAGGGATACAAACATTATAATGTAAATTTCTAATGTATGTTAGAGCTGAAATCAAGGAAGGCTTCACGTTAGACCATTTTGTATACGTACGATCATGCTGCAATGTTATATTTTTTCTAACGAATAGCTGCTATTCATACCAATACAAAGAAGATTAGCCATCTGCCATATTTTGCCCAGGCCTGGATTAATGAAAAGGACATTGAACACTGAAATGCAAACTTGCTCTTTGCCTTGTGACCCAAATGAAAAAGTGTGCAAGGATTTTCAAAAAAGGTGCATCTGCAAATTTCAGACTACAACTTATTCTGAATATGAATAGCATTGTGGGAGGGCAAAACATACAAAAAATTAATGCCATAATTACCTTTGAGAGACTGGCCATGATTCTGCTTAAGTACAGAGGTTAAATAATGAGGACAGGATGACCTACTGAAAAGAAAAAATAAATTAACTAAAGCCACAAATAGTACTAAATTTAAAATACTATGACTAGGAGGAAGTGAAGAAATTTCTATACCATAAAAAGTTAAAAGAAAAAATCATTAAAATAGGTGAGGAAAGCCAAGGAAGCTGCACAATTTCTACTATTTTTGGTAGCTAGATGGTAAGCAAGCCAGTCTGATTACTCTAATGTTTAGATTTATAATCAGGACTGAAAAAAAGCCCATCCACTTTGGGGTGATTAGGAAATTTTACATGGCCAGTCATCAACTTCTGCAGATTCTAAATGCTCATTACATTTTTTTAAAAGAGCTCTAGCCTTTCTGGTTGTGAAGAAATCTTTCTAAATGTTACCTGAACGTAAATCAGCACATTGACGTCCAGAACCCAGGTGCTATGTATTTTGATAGGCTACAGATAAATGAAGACTATCAAGAATCCTGTCAGTTTCACTGATGATAATCAAAATGCTGTGGCGAATGAGGAATTAAATCAATCTCACTCTGCAGCTGCTAGAGCAAGCTCTGAGTAGAAGTAGAAGCAGGCAGTGGAACTTACTGAGAAGGATTCAAAATCTGAGGCTAAGGGAACAGTAAAGCAACACAGGCCTCTTCCCTTCATAGCAGCCAGGAGTCTTGGAAGTGGGACAAAGTAAAGGAGTCCCAGCCAGATGTCTAGAGTGGAAGAAAGGAACAAAGAAATGGGGGCAGAGGAGAGGGCCTTCAAATGTAATCAAATACGTAAGCCCCCCCAGGCGGGATCCAGGGACAGATGAGGGGCGGTTGGCTTGTCTCTGAGATATTGCCCCTCCCGCATATTCATAGAATCATAGAACCATAGAGCTGGAAGAGACTTTAGAAGGCCATCAAGTCCAGCCCTCAGACCAAGGCAGGACCAATCCCAACTAAATCAACCCAGCCAGGGCTTTGTCAAGCCAAGACTTAAAAACCTCTAGGGATGGAGACTCCACTACTTCCCTAGGTAACCCATTCCAGTGCTTCACTACCCTCCTTGTGAAATAATTTTTCCTAATATCCAACCTGGACCTCTCCCACTGTAACTTGAGACCATTGTTCCTTGTTCTGCCATCTGTCACTACTGTGAATAGCCTTTCTCCAGCCTGATTGGAACCTCCCATAGGGAAGTTAAAGGCTGCTATCAAATCCCCCCTCGCTCTTCTCTTCTGCAGGCTAAATAGACCCAACTCCCTCAGCTTCTCCTCGTAAACTTTGCTCTCTGAGAAACGGAAGACAATGTAGGAAGCAATACACTGTAATATTACAGAACAGACAAAAATGGGAGAAAAACCAAGAAAGAAAAGGCAGTATGGGGGAGGGGGAGAGGGAAGTGAATGCTACTTAAAACAGGACTTGACTCACACATTAACTGATAAATTTCACTAGTATTTGTCAAAATTATTTGACAGATTTTTGTTGTATTATTTGACCAGCTCTATAGCTAGCCATATACTATTCTGTGAATACGTTATTTAACACATACAAGTCAAATGAATGAAATAGTATATTCAAAAAATATTTTCTTACTCAACCAGCTCTTATAGTGTGTAACATTTAGTTAAAAATGCATACAAAATAATTTTGATTAGCAATATGTAGCAATTAAATATAGCATACAACAAACATTACACAACTGTTTTGTCTCTTCAAATGACGTGAAGCATAGGTCTTTCTTACCATTACAGGGTCAGACCTCAGGTAAGTATGCAAGGATGGATTCTTCAAGCCCAGTCTATCATAAGGCTGGGGCCACAACTGGGGACAGCTGGGGAGCCCCCATGCACAGGGCCAATAGTTAGGGCCCCAGGGCCAGCAGCAGAGCCACTGGAACTCCAGGTGACAATGGACGGTGGCTGGGAATCCTTGGAGCTGGAAACCCTGTGGGCAGAGGAAGTCCCACCCCTCCAAAATGGACATGGTCCAAATGCTGGAGCCGTATAAAAGGGAGTAGCTCAGCTTAGTCTGGGCTGGACACTGGAGGAGAAGGACTTCCTGCAGAAATGATCCAACCAGAGACTCAGATGATGGGATTCAGAGACTGCCTTGAGCTGCTAGTGCTGGAGGAGCCCTGGGAAAAGGCTGTTGTTCAGGACCGGAGGACCTGCAGACTGCACAGGACGTCACTGCACCAGTTCTGGTAGGAAGTGACCCAGGGCGGGTGTGGGAGTGCTATCTCCCACGCAAGGGAGCTCAGCATGTTGCGGTTGGATTCCCCGCTGAAAGAGTGCAGAACAATTTGCCACTCACAGGGCCCTGGGCTGGGGTCCAGTGGTGTAGGATGGGACTGGGCCCCTAGCAGGGCAGTTGCCACATATTACTGACTCAGCCATTGGGCTGTGCTGCCCTGAACCAAGGGCTATTCTTATTGATTCTAGCCATTAGGCTAGGGCTGGGCAAAATACAGCCCACAGACGGGATCTGGCCCTCCAGGCCACTGGATCCGGCCCACAGATGCAGGGGAGAGCCCCAGGCAGGCTCCCTGCTTGCCTCACCCCATCTGCACACCACTCAGAAAAGCAGCTGCCAGGCTGTTTCTCTTTCACAACTGTGAGCCTGAAGGGGAGGAGAGGGAAGGCTTTACGAGCTGCCCCCACCCCAGCACAATCCCATTAGCTACTTACTGGCCAGTGGGAGCTGGCTGTTTGAAAAACAGGCAGCACACAAAGCACCAGTCCCCATTCCCCTCAGGCTCATAGTTATTCACACACGCACTTGACTCCTGCAGCCTGTGCAGGGTTGGAGCAGGCAGGGGGGCTGCTTCAGAAATGTTCTGGGCTGCTGGCCGGGAGTAACCCAGGTAAGTCTCCTAGCCCGAGCTTGCCTCTGGCACCCAGCCCCTTCACCCCCCAACCCTCTGCCCCCTTCCTGTGCCACTACCCCACATAACCTAAATACTCTGCCCCCTCCTGCACTCATCCTGCCCTCCCAGAATCTGCACCTTAATTCTCTGCCCCAAGTCACAACCCCATCCTTCCCTAGTTCACAACCCAAACCCCTGCCCTCCAGTCCACAACTGCCTCCTTCACCCAAACTCCCTCGCAGACCTCACACTCTCCTGAACCCTAAACCCTTACCCCAAGCTTCCTTCTGCACTCAACCTCCATCCCAGATCCCGCACCTCCTTCATTAATACCATGGAAGAGTGCGGCCCTCGACCACTTTCCAAAATCTTAGAGTGGAACTCATTGAAAATTATTGCCTACCCCTGCATTAAGCTGTGCTGTCCTGAACCAAGGGCTACCCATATTGACCCTTGTTACTATGGACTATATCCATTAGGCTGTGCTGCCCTGAACCAAGGGTTATTTTTATTGACTCTTGCCATTCGATTGTACTGCCCTGGACTGAGGACTTTTGGTACAGACTGATAGAGATTGCTTATGATCCAGCAGCCGACGAGGTGGTGTCCACATTCCTGGATACCCGCACCTCAAGGGAGGGAGTGTGCAAATGCCGTGACAGCAAATTACTGTTTTCAAAAAGTCACTATTTTCTCTAGCTCATTTTTTAAATAATTCCACTGAAACTAGGATTGTGTGCCAGTTACATAAAACCCAGGGCACCTGCTCACTCAGAATTGCCTGTTCTCCAAAGCAATGTACAATATCGCTACCCACAGATGCACAGACAGCTACTCACTTCCCATCAAGTTGTTAAGAGACAAAAAGTCCACTTCCACCAAACCTGAACATAGCTGAAAGGTTGCACAAAGATCTAGAGTAGCAGCTTCTCTCTGTGCTCCTAGCTATGGCCCCAGTAGAGTCAGATTTGGAAGAAAGAATAAGGATTAGAGAACAGGGAAAGAATAGGGAGAGTAAAGAGAGAACAGGATGCACATAAAGGGGAAAAGAACCAACAGAAGACAAGCAATAAAAACAAACGCAAATGAAAGCCAAGAAGATTAAGAACCCAGGACACAGAGACAGAGGGAATCATAGAACCATAGGGCTGGAAAACACCTCAGGAGGTCATCGAGTCCAGCCCCCTGCCCAAAACAGGACCAGTCCCAACTAAATCAAGCCAGCCAGGGCTTTGTCAAGCTGAGACTTAAAAACCTCTAGGAATGGAGATTCCACCACCTCCTTAGGTAACCCATTCGAGTGCTTCACCACCCTCCTAATGAAATAGTTTTTCCTAATATCCAACCTAGACCTCTCCCACTGTAACTTGAGACCATTGCTCCTTGTTCTGCCATCTGTCACTACTGAGAACAGCCTTTCTTCATCCTCTTTAGAACCCTCCTTGAAGAAGTTGAAGGCTGCTATCAAATCCCCCCTCACTCTTCTCTTCTGCAGACTAAAAAATCCCAAATCCCTCAGCCTCTCCTCACAGGTCATGTGCTCCAGCCCCCTAATCATTTTGGTTGCTCTCCACTGGACCCTCACCAATGCAGTCACATCCTTTCTGTAGTGGGGGGCCCAGAACTGGACACAATACTCCAGATGTTGAATAAAGGGGAATAATCACTTATCTAGATCTGCTGGCAATGCTCCTCCTAATGCAACCTAATATTCCATTCACCTTCACAAGGGTACACTGTTGACTCATATCCAGCTTCTCATCCACTGTAATCCCCAGGTCCTTTTCTGCCAAACTGCTACATAACCAGTCAGTCCCCAGCCTGTAAAAATGCTTGGGATTCTTCCGTCTCCAATTCAGAACCCTGCACTTATCCTTGTTGAACCTCATCAGATTTCTTTTGGTCCAATCCTCTCATTTGTGTAGATCACTCTGGACCCTATCCCTGCCCTCCAACGTATCTACCTCTCCCCCTAGCTTAGTGTAATCCACAAACTTGCTGAGGGTGCAATCCATCCCCTCATGCAGGTCATTAATAAAGATGCTGACCAAAACCGGTCCTAGAACCAATCCTTGGAGCACTCTGCTTGAAACCGACCGCCAACCTGATATCGAGCTGTTGATCACTACCCGTTGGGCCCAACAATCTAGCCAGCTTTCTATCAACCTCACAGTCCATTTATCTAACCCATACTTTCTTAACTTGCTGGCAAGAATACTGTGGGAGACCGTATCCAAAGCTTTGCTAAAGTCAAGGTATATCACATCCACTGATTTCCCCATGTCCACAGAGCCAGTTACCTTATCATAGAAGCTAATCAGATTGGTCAGGCATGACTTGCCCTTGGTGAATCCATGTTGACTTTTCCTGATCACTTTCCCCTCTTCCAAGTGCTTCAAAATGGATTCCTTGAGGATCCCCTCCATGATTTTTCCAGGGACTGAGGAGAGGCTGAACCATCTGTACTTTCCTGGATTGTTCTTCTTCCCTTTTTTAAAGATGGGTACCTCAATTGCCTTTTTCAAGTCATCCGGGATCTCTCCCAATCTCCACAAGAGTGGAGCAAAAAATAAGTTATGGATGAGCAGGAGGCAAACAACCAACCAATGCTTGCACTCTTCTTCTCATTCACTTAGCCCTCAAAAAGATGGCGGGCTTGTAAGAATGGGATAAAAAACATAGCTATGAGTTGAGTTTAGTGGAGAACAGAATACACGTTAAAATGGTTTGCACTAATCCTGTCTTTTAAAGTTGTCCCAGTTTTTCTGTAAAGGGGAGAGTGAGCCCATCTTCCTGCTCACTTGCTTCTTAAGCTTTCAGTCTTTCTCTGCAGATATCAAATGCTTCTCACGACATAGTGTCCTGTCGTGCTGGCCTGAAAATCTAGACTTTTTAGTTTCTCATGTCTGTCTCCTTTCTGCCCACTTCACTTCCTGAGCCCCTTTCAGTTCCTTCTCTTCACTGGCTATTCTCAATCTATTATCCGCCTTTCCCAACCTTCTACCTCCATTCCTTTCCACTCCCATGTTAGGAAACAATAGAATTTGAAGGGAATGACTGGTCATCTCACTCTTTTCAAATCATGGCTTCCTTTGTGTCATAGGTTGCCCAGTTTATTATGTCCTTTGAGATTTAATCAACTGGGAAAGATTGTCATAACTTAACAATATACTTGCAATGGAAAATCTGCCTACCTTGTTGGTGGTACTGGTGGGGTATAAAATGCAAATGCTGAAGGAAAAGGTTGCTTTTTCAGAGCTTGTATAAGATTTGGCTTATATTCCGGATCAATGCACCATAATGAACCTTTTCCATTCACCTGGAGGGGGGGAAACATAGTTGTGTGAATTACAATATTTAGGAGAAATTAGTAAACAAGCCATCAAAGAGACCATTGTTACAATACTAATATTAAATGAACAACAAGTGTACTACAACACTGACTATAGGCTGAGAAACTTCCATTTTAAACCCCTTTTTTCCTCACAATTTTCTCAGGTAGAAATTGTAATGTTTTATTTAACTCCATGCTAAATACTTTTGTGAGTTTAGAGAAAGTTTGTTCAACCATTTGAGGGGCAGAGATATGGGCCTCCTTTCTACTACCTCTCTAGAAATAAGGTCCCAAAATTGGGATTCTCTCCTTTCTCCCCTACACTCTAGGGATGTAGGGAGTTGTGTGAAATGAGCCCAGGCAGTTATGTCAGCTGAAGCTGTGCAATGGGATGAGCAAATGTACATGTGCACATTAGGAGTCATATTAACAAAAATTGCAAGATGAGCATCTTAAAAGGACTGGTGTTTAAAATGTTTGTAACTTTCTTCATTCTATCTGAAGTATTTTCAAATCCATGCAAGTCCCATGGTGTTAATGAGGACTAAATGCATGTTGGAAGTTGTAAAAATAAGTCATGTTTGATTTATCACATGAAAAAAGGGAGAATGAATTCTGAAAAACAAATGTGAATGAAGAGCTTCATAACTCAGAAAACTTTTCACTTCTCTTCTATCTAAACAAAATAATCTTTTGGTTGAGACTAGATACAAAGGTAGTCAGCATCCCAGGAATGTGTATGAAAGCAAAGGCTGGTTTACACACATCTTTTGTACTGCTACCCTGGTTTAGAAACACAATTTATAAAACAGTACAATTCCCTAATTATAGGGGATGTAGTTACAGAAATATAAAAGGTGCTTATATCAGAATAGTATATTCTCAAGTTATGCCTATGCTTGCATAGAACCCTACTGTCAGACACAATTGACACCCACAGAAAAAAGTTACCTACTTTTTATAACTGTCAACAGTGGCACCCTCCTGAGTGCCAAACTTATGGGTCAATATATTCTTTCTTGCTGACAACTCCTAAAGAGAGCTAGGAGGGCAGGTAATGGAATGGACATGAGAAACATCTCTCAAAGAAAAACAGTTATGAAAGATAAGTAACCAGTTTTAGTTTTTCAAGGGTTTCCTTAGGTCAATTTCATTTTAGGTGGACTCACAAGCAGTATCCTCAGAGGTGGTCTTAAGAGTCACAGTTTGGCAATTTGTAGTAGCGCTCTACCAAAGCCAGCATCATCCCAGGCCTACTGGGTAAGTGCATAACAGGACATGAAGCTATGGACAGACAACCAGGTGGTAGTCCTATTGGTGTTCAGGATAGGCACTTGGGCCAGAAAGGCTGCCGAAGTGGCCTGTGCCTTGGTTGACTGGGTGGTTGGCACCTTTGTCTGATCATACCAGCAATGAATGCAAGAGATGGTCCAAGAAGAAATTCTCTGAGCAATCTTTCAACCTGTTGATCACCACAACAAACAATTGCGTCGACTTAAAGACTTGGTGCTTTCCACGTAGAAGGCTAATGCCCTTCTGACGTCTAGGGAATGCAGCCTATGCTCCTCCTCAGGTTTATGTAGCTTTAAAAACTGAGACACCAAATTGGTAAGGAAAAGCAGAAGTGGTCTCATCTGGATCTTGTCTTTGTAAAAGACCACATAGGGCAGTTTAATCATTCTAATCTGAGAGACCCAGCGGGTAGATGTTCCTGGTTGTAGTAACACAGGAACTTCCAAAGCAGAAGGAGAGAGCGAGAAACCAGAAACTATGAATTGCTGGTGGTGGCCTGGGCATATTACTTCTAGTACCCATCGGTCTGAGATTAGCCAAAATCAGGCCAAATGGAAGGGATGGAGGATGGATCCAGTGAAGTGGCTGGGGCACTGTTCTCAAGTGCATCATCATAATGACTGTTTTGGCCCCTTTAGATCTTGGGAGGGTCTCTCTCTGGCCTTTCTCTGGTAGCAACCTGATTGGGGAGTTTTCCAGAACCTAGGGTGAGCAGAGGATGGAATGACTTGGAATCAGAATTCTAGGGCTGGAAGATACCTCAGAAGTCATCGAGTCCAGTCCCCTGCCCAAAGCAGGACCAACCCCAATTAAATCATCCCAGCCAGGGCTTTGTGAAGCCTGGACTTAAAAACATCTAAAGATGGAGATTCCATCACCTCCCTAGGTAACCCTTTCCAGTGCTTCACCACCCTCCTAGGGAAATAGTTTTTCCTAAAATCCATCCTAGACCTCCCCACTATAACTTAAGACCATTGCTCCTTGTTCTGCCATCTGTCACTACTGAGAACAGCCTCACTCCATCCTCTTTGGAGCTCCCCTTCAGGTACTTGAAGATTGCTGTCAAATGCCCCCTCTCTCTTCTTTTCTGTACACTAAATAAACCCAAATCCCTCAGCCTCTCCTCATAGGACATGTGCTCCAGTCCCCTAATCACTTTGGTTGCCCTCTATTGGACCCGCTCCAATGAGTCCTCATCCCTTATGTGCCAAGAACTGGACACAATACTCCAGATGTCACCTCACCAATGCCAAATAAAGGGGAATAATCGCTCCTCCTAATGCAACCTAATATGCCATTAGCCTTCTTCGCTACAAGGGTACCCTATTCACTCATATCCAGTTTCTCATCCACTGTAATTCCCAGGTCTTTTTCTGCAGACCTGCTACTTGGCCATTCGGTTCCCAGCCTGTAACAATGCTTGGGATTCTTCCGTCCCAAGTGCAGGACTCTGCATTTATCCTTGTTGAACCTCATCAGATTTCTTTTGGGCCAAACCTCCCATATGTCTAGGTCACTACGAGAACATTGCTTCTTGTTCTGTCAGTTGCCACCAATGAAAAAAACCTGGCTCCATGCACTTTTGGAACCCTCCTTCAGGTAGTTGAAGGCTGGTACCAATTCCCCCCTCATTCTTCTCTTCTCCAGACTAAGTAAGCTAAGTTCCCTCAGCCTCTCCTCATAAGTCGTGTGCTTCAACCCCCTAATAATTTTTGTTGTCCTCTGCTGAACTCTCTCTAATTTGTCCACATTCTTTCTGTAGTGGGGGGCCTAAAACAGGACATAATACTCCGGATGTGGCCTTACCAGTGCCGATAAGAGAGGAATAATCACTTCTCTAGATCTGCTGGCAGTGCTCCTACTAATGCAGCCCTATTATGCCACTAGCCTTCTTAGTAACAAGGGTGTACTGTTGATTCATATCCAGCTTCTTGTCCACTGTAATTCCCAGGTCCTTTTCAGCAGAACTGCTGCTTAGTCAGTTCTCAGCTTGTAGTAATACGTGGGATTCTTCCATCCTAAGTGAAGGATTCTATACTTATCTTTGTTGAACCTCATCATATTTCTTTTGGCCCAGTCCTCCAATTTGTCTAGGTCACTCTGGACCCAACCTCTATCCTCCAGCATATCTATCTCTCCCCTCAACTTAGTGTCATCTGCAAGTTGATGAGGGTACAATCCATCCCATCATCAAGATCATTAATGAAAATGTTGAACAAAACCAGCCTCAGGACTAACCCCTAAGGCACTCCACTTGTTACCAGCTGCCAACTAGACATCAAGCCTATTTAAGTCAATGACCTAGCCAGCTTTCTACCCACCTTATAGTCCATTCATCCAAGCCATACTTCTGTAACTTGTTGGTAAAAATACCATGGGAGAACATATCAAAAACTTTGCTAAGGTCAAGATATATACCATCCACCACTTTCCCCATATCCACAAAGAAAATTGTCTCTTCATAGAAGACAATTAGGTTGGTCAGGCATAACTTACCTTTGGTGAATCCATGCTGATTGTTTCTGATTACCTTCATAGAACCATAGGTTTGGAAGAGACTGCAGAAGGTCATTGAGTCCACCCCCTTTGCTAAAAGCAGAACTAACCCCAACTAACTCAACTTCTTCCCCTCCAAGTGTTTAAAAATGGATTCCTTGAAGACCTGCTCCATGATTTTTCCAGGGACTAAGGTGAGATTGACCAGTCTTTAGTTCCCCAGATTCTCCTTCTTTCCTTTTTAAAAGATGGGCACTACCTTTGCCTTTTTCCAGTCATCTGGGACCTCCCCTGATTTCCATGAGTTTTCAAAGGTTTTCACTATTTACATCAGCCAACTCTCTCAGGGTATATCAAGACTGCTTTCCTCTTCCAAAAGAGGAAATGCAAATGAAGTGCTGATTAGCATAGTCTCACATTTCATTTGCATATCTTCTTCCTACCCTTTTTGCAGAAGAGGTTTTTTTCACCAAAAAATGCAGTCTAGACATGGCTTTTTCACAAAAAAACCCCAAAACTTTTTGAAAGAACCCATATGCCTCAAAAAATTGAGGTTTACAGGTTCTTTCATAAAAGCTGCGTCTAGACTGCATTTTTTAGCAAAAAACACTCTTCCACAATTGGTGACTGTGTAGCAGTGCCCATTTGAATAGACGGGGGGCTTCGGTTAATTTCTACTGTGGAGAGAACTGCAGTGGCTACTGCAGTATCTGTTGTGGAGCATGGTGGAATAGCATAATGCTTTATGAAGGTGTGATTAGACGACCATGTCGGTGTTCTGCATATTTCCTGGAGTGAGACTCCCTTTAGGAAAGTAGCTGATATCACCATGGCTCCAGTAGAGTGGGCCCTGGGAGTCATTGGTAATGCCCTGTTCTGGAGCAAGTAGCAGGTAGTAATGCATGATGTTATCAGCTTTGATATGCAATGAGAAAACAGTGGTTTTCCCTTGGACCTTTCAGCCAGGGATACCAGCAATCTCTGGGATGATCGAAAAGGATTAAGTCCTATCAAGATAGAAGGCACTTGCCCTTCTAATGTCCAGGGTATGTAATATGGCTTCTTCTCTGGAATGGTGCAGCTTTGGATAGAAAGTGGGAAGGATTATTGGTTCATTGATATGGAATTCCTAGCTCACTTTGGGTAAGGACAAGTGTGGCTGCAGAATGACCTTATGCTTGTGAAAGGTTGTATAT